TACGCATTATCCTGCCCATGCAATTGTAACCCCTCTGTACAGTATGTTCACAAATAATATAAAATAAAATTTAAAAATAAAAAAATAAAAAAAAAGAAATGTAAAAAAAAAAAAAAAAAAGAGTCTTATGGACTTTCCTGCCTGGGCTGGCTTTGAACCGTGATCCTCAGATCTCAGCCTTCAGAGTAGGTAGGATTACAGGTGTGAGCCCCTGAGGGCAGCAGGATCTCTGTGGAGCTTTTATCTCGAGTATTTATCTTTTTAGACCTTGATCCACTGCAGAGATGGCAGCTGAGTCATTGCCTTTCCCCTTTGGGACAATGTCCAATTGGGAGCTGGAAGCCTGGTATGAGGACCTGCAGGAAGTCCTGTCCTCAGATGGGGGTACCTATATCTCACCCCCTGGAAATGAAGAGGTGAGAATGCTAGTCCTATAACTGGGGTAGGGAGTTACCATTTCCTCAACTAATACTCATCTCCTTTTCCTCATTTCCTTAAAGGAAGAATCGAAAACCTTCACCACTCTTGACCCTGCATCTCTAGCTTGGCTGGCTGAGTTGCCAGGACCAGCAGAGGTCACAAGCACCTCCCAGAGCCCTCAATCTCCAGATTCCAGTCAGAGTTCCTTGGTGCAGGAGGAAGAGGAGGAAGATCAAAGAAGAACCAGGAAACGGAAACAGAGTGGCCCATGTCCAGCCCGTGCTGGGAAGCAGCGCATGAAGGATAAAGAACAGGAGAATGAAAAGAAAGTAGCACAGCTAGCTGAAGAGAATGAACGGCTCAAGCAGGAAATTGAACGACTAACCAAGGAAGTAGAAGCAACACGCCGAGCTCTGATTGACCGAATGGTTAATCTTCACCAAGCATGAACAATTGGGACTATCACTCCCCAACTTGGGCCAGTACCTACCTTTCATGGAAGTGGCTACTGACCACTCTCACACCATGCCAATGACATGACCATCAAATGCATGTGTTCAGTAGGGGAAAAATATGGGATAGACCAAAGGAAAGTATCTCCACTTGTATATATATAGATAGATAGATTGTACATTTATTGATTACTGTTCATATCCAGTAAAGTGGCTTTCTATGAACAAGTTCTTTCACTTTTTTTTCTTGCCTTTAGGAGTTTCTAGGGGTTTACCCTCAGCTACAGCCAACTGTTTCTTTAGGTCCAAGAGCTTAGCCACCTCTGCAGCAACCTGGTTCTTGTCTGCCTTTTGTGCTTTCAGTTCTCGGACAATGTTGCCCTAGGAGAAGAGTGAGAAGGAATAACAGTGAGACCAGGAAATGACTTGTTTAGGACTTAGATTTTCCCATTTTCCATAATGTTTACAAATCATACCTGTTTTGTCACTTCATCCATCAGTACCTGTATCTGCTGTAACCCAGCTGTAACAGTCTCTACAACTGTTGACTTAGGGGATGCTTTTGCCTAGAGAAGAACAAAGGATTATTAGCATAGCTGCCATAAATAGCTCCTGATCTCCAGATTTATATAACATCTCAGGAGAGAAATGATTACCTTGAACTCCAAAGACTCTTCTAGCTAAGACAGAAAAGGAAAACTAGTAAGTGAAGAAGCATCAGGACCAAAAGATGGAAAGAGAGATCAATGAGGACTACTTGGGGAAACTAAGGTGGTGTTGCTGTGGCTGTTGCTGGCTGAGGACACAGTCTAGCTTTCTCACCTGGCCCCCTCCAAAGCGCTGCCTCAAACTTTCAATCTGGTCATTTTCCAGTTTTTGGAACAGGGGACTGACCTGTAAAAACAAATTCCAGAATCATTCACTGATTAGATACCAACTCTACAGATTACACAGAGGAGCCTCTCTAACGCTACTGTCTGAGACATTTAGAAAAGCTAAATGTTTTGGAAGAAATACAAGCATAACACTGAGTAAATACCTGCTGGTTTTAGGAAAGAATTCAGAAAAAAAGCAACACTCACTATGAAATCAAATGTTAATAGGATTTAAAAATATTTAGTGATGTTAAGTTGATTTAGATATTTAAGATATACTTATCTGGGCAAAGAGGAAATGGCTACCCTCTATTCTCAGTCTACTACCTGCTAGCATTATGGTAACCAGGTATTTCTTCCAATGTTTCCGTGCTGGTTAATTTTATATGCCCAGTACTGGTTTCTGACATGAAGAACAATAAGGATATATAGACAATACTTGACTTGTGGAAGAGCCTTTTTAAAAAAAAGCCCAAGGGTAGAATGGGGAAGGAAGAAGGACTTCTGAGAAAAGGTATAAGAGCCCCAAGCAAAAGTCTATATGTGTTAGATCTCTAGCCCCACCCTAAAGGCTACAGGGCAAAAAGATGAATATTAAGGAAGGTTGCCCCTTCCAACTCAGTCTTACTGTGCCAATCTGGTGCCCTGCTGGTAAGGTACACAGGAACTTTATGGGAAGAACACTGCAGACTTGAAGGGGGAGCTGCAGCTGGGTCTGGATGGTGGCGCTAACTGTAGGCATGTAAGGTTGGATCATGACAGACAGCAAGGCAGCTATATTCACTGCCAAGCCTGTCACTGTGCCTGCCCGCTGCCTGCGGGAGAAGAAAGATTAGTAAAGACCTCCAAGAAGATACATGTAATTCATGGAGCCAACTACCCCTCCTTATGTACCTGTCTGCCTCACTGCCTTTAATCCTTTTCCAGGGTTCATTCACCTGGATATATTGGTTGCCATGTCTCGATATGGTAAGGATACTGCGTAAGGCATCCCGGATCCTGGGAAGGGAAGAGGCAGCAAGTATGTAAGTGCTCTCAACATACCAGCAAGTTTCTGATGTGAAATAGGTATGGATTACTTACCGAACCTTTTCGAGTAGCTGGTGATAGTGCTGGAGCTCCAGGGTGATATGGGCCAGCAGACGCTGATCATCAGGGGTAAGCACCATCTCAGGCACATAGCCCCCAAAAAACTTAGACACAAACATCCCAGCTCTTGATGGATGGAGACAAGAGGGAAGTTACTACCCAGACTCCTTACAGAAATTTGACCCTTTTTCTGTATCTCTTCATTCGTTTAAGATTCCTGAATACAACAGATTCCTGAATACAACAGACATTTCTTAGCTGCTCAAACTAGAGGAGCTTAACAACCTTTCTATTAGCATATATTAGGGATGCAAGGGAATCAGGAGGTTCATTGTGACATTCCAATACATACACACAATGTAACCCATCAAACTCCCTCCCCCTCCATCTCTCTCCCTCATCTCCACCTCCCCTGCTTCTTATGACAATTTCAACAAGATTCACTGTTTTATTTATTTTTTTTTTGGGGGGGGGTCCGGTCGTGGGGCTTGAACTCTGGCCCTGGGTGCTGTCCCTCAGTTCTTCAGCTCAAGGCTAGGGCTCTACCACTTGAGCCACAGCGCCACTTCTGGCTTTTTTCTTTTTGCTTATATGGTGCTGAGGAATCGAACCCAGGGCCTCAGGCATACAAGGCAAGCGCTCTACCACTGAGCCACCTTCTCAGCCCCTGTTCTATTTTTTTCATACATGCACATTAAGTATGCCTACCATATTTACCCTTCTTCATTCTCTTCATTGGTTCTCTCCCCTCTCACTGTTTCTCATCCCCAAATACAGCCTATTTTACAAAACTATTCTCTATCCAAAGAATGTAACTGCACACAAATCTAATAAAGGTAAACAGTGTACATGCTAAAAGGTAAATATTCAGAATAACCAGACAGAATTATCTGTGTGTTAACTAGCTAAGGATAGAGCTAAAGGTCCAGGGAGACTTTAGAATAGTAAGCCAGGAACTGGCACTGGCTCAAGTGGTAGAGTGCTAGCCTTGAGCTGAAGAGCAGGAACAGTACCCAGGCCTAGAGTTCAAGCCCCATAACTGACAAAAAAAAAAAAAAAAAAAATAGTAAGCTATAGAAGACTTCTTTCCTTTGGTACTAAAGATCAAACCCAGAGCTTTACACTTGCTGGGAAAGTACTCTACAACTGAGTTATAACTCTCAGCCCCATTGCTATGGTAGGATGTGAGCTAAACTGACAACTCTAAAGAATGCAATGTAAGCTTCGTATTTTTGCACAAGAATAACCCTTGCCACTAAACTTCTTGATCGGTAGGTGAATTGTTTTTGTGAGGAGAGAATGTATCTATAATTCTACAAAGCACAAAGAGGGGCTAGAGGTATGATTCAGGTGGTAGAGCACCTGCCTAGCAAGTGCAAAACCCTGAGTTCAAACCCCAGAGCCACCTACCACCTTCTCTTTTCCCACTGAAAAAACATCTATCTACCCTGTGACCATTTTGCTCCATCATGTCTCTACAACTATTTCCTCAAGCACATATGTCCTGGGAGCATATCTGAACTGACACAAATCAACTTTCTCCACTGTCCTTCCATCCCTCACAGCCTCCTGCCACATTCCTGTCTCCTGAGAACTCACCCATTCCCAGCTAATTTGCTCACTCTCTCCCTTTACCAAGTCCTACCTGTTGACAAAGTTGCCCAAGTTGTTAAGCAGCTCAGAATTATTCTTGAGCAGCATGTCTGTCCAGGAGAAGGCACTGTCTTGGCCCTCAGGCCGAATGTATAGCAGATAAAAACGCCAGATGTCAGCAGGGATTCCTGTGTTCTGGGCCATGTCTCCAAACACTCCCACACCCCGGCTCTTAGAGAATTTCCCATCTTCATAGTTAAGGTATTCTGAAAAGAATAGACAAAGAATCATCTGTTCAAATCATAACCTTCACTAACTCTCCCTCCCTACCATCTATGGTGATTGTCTAGCAACATTCTGCCTTGAGTACTGAAAATTGAACCCAGGCCCTTGTGCTCTTCTCTCAGCTTTCTTGCTCACAGCTGGTGCTCTAGCATTTGACCCATGCATCCAGTCCAGCACTTTGCTGGTTAAATGGATATGGAATCTTACAAACTTTTCTGCTTGAGTTGGCTTCTGTGATCCCAAGTCTCAGCATGCCAAGGATCTAAGATTTCAGGCATGAGCTACTGATGCCTGGCCTTGCAACAGTTCCAGTTTGGTCTTCTGCTTTCTTCAGCTTATTATTCACTACCTTCAGATAGAGCTCTCCATGTTTTATTTCATCTCAACTCCTACCTTAAGACCTAGCACCTCTCCAGGATCATCTTAATTTCAGACCCCAGAAACACCTTAAGTGCACTCTTCCAAAGTACCTACCTGTAGCAATGAGGTGCTTGACCAAGGTGTAGTTGTCCTCAGCTCCTAGGGCTGAACAAGGAAAGACTAAACCATGGAAGGGAACATTATCTTTGGCCATGAACTGGTAAAGGTCCACCTAGGAGAATATATTTGAGAAAGAGTTCTCTTGAGACTTTCTTTTAAAACCCAAGAAAATTAAATATGTAACCCTTTTTACCTCCTGTTACACACACCCACTACCCAAAGATAAACTAAGAACTGCTCACTTGCTCTGGGTTCTTCCACCATCTCTCCCACTGCTCTGTGTAGTTGGCTGTGATGGACAGGTAACCAATAGTAGCATCAAACCAGACATAAAATACCTAGAGAGTCAAGGAGAGAGAAACAAAATAGGGACAACCCAAAGTTTCAGACAGAAACAAGAATGCTTTAAAAGTCTAGCTGGCTACAGCCTCATGCCTGTAATCTCGCTACTTAGGAGGCTGAGCTCTGAGGATCGAGGTTCAAAACCAGGCCAGATAGGCAAGTCCATAAGACTTATATCTCTAATAAATTACAAAAAAAAAAAAAGCCTGAAGTGGAGCTGGCTCAATGGTAAAACACTAGCCTTGGGCAGGGACAGTACCCAGACTCTGAGCTCAAGTCATACGATTGGCGCGCACATGCACATGCATGCACACACAAGCACGTGCACGTGTTCATGCATACACACACGCATGCATGCGTGCATGCATGCGCATGCGCGCACACACACACAAACACACACACACAGGCTAGCCCATGGTCCCTGAGGCTGAATAAATTAAGACATGAACAAACGTTAAAAGATTTTACCTTGTCCTCAAAACCTTCTAAGGGCACAGGGGTTCCCCATTTAAGATCTCGAGTTATGCAGCGTGGCTTGAGGCCATCCCGAAGCCAAGAACG